GGACGCCATGCTAGGAGGAGACTCTATGGTGGGGGAACCAGACTTCCGGTCAGGGGAGGAAAAAGGATGCCGCGCTAGGAGGAGACTCTATGGTGGGGGAACCAGACTTCCAGTAAGGAGAGGAAAAAAGATGCTACACTAGCAGGAGACTCTATGGTGGGGGAACCGGACTTCCGGTCGGCTTCTGAAGTGAAGAGGGAGGGGGGGCTTCCGGTTATGACCTTTGTGGCTCTTTGAGTGTTTAATGTTGCCTCCCACCGGCCAGCTGGTCTTCGGGTCTTTACTGCACGGAGGCAGGGCACATGCACAGGGGGCGCTCGCATTGCATTTTGGGGGCTGGCGCAGCGCCCCCATGCCCCGTTTTGGCTTCCAGGTTGGTACAGGAGGCCTTCCAAGGCTCCTTGCACCAACCTGGAACCCAAAAATGGGCGAGGAAGGGCAGGGCACATGTGCGGGAGGTCAGGGAAGCACCGGGGGGGGGGCACACATGCAGAGTTTCGGCACGCGATGCCAAAAAGATTAGCCATCACTGCTCTAACTCTTTATGTGGGCGCTTCAGAAGTTCCTCGCTCGTTTTGTCTGGATCTGGGTTTTTAACTCGACGTTAGGAGAGACCCAAAGGAAGAATTAACGCTTCTTCTGTGTGTGTTGCTCGCTATACTTCAACCGCGCATTCTATTGTCTGTTGATAAATCTTGGGAGATCACTGGAAGACTGCTGCGCCTCCTTGATCTTGGTGGGTGGTACTGCTTTGTTACCTTTCATCTCCAGATGTTGCTGAAAATGCCCAGAAGTGAAACATTTGTAATTAAGTATGAATCTTTTGTCTTCCTCCGCACCCCACCCCCCTCCCCTTCCTTCCAGTTGTCTGCCGAGTGTTTACAGCAGACCGAGGAAGGAAGCGCCTTCTGAGCCTCTTGTCAGATTTGGATGGCCAAGAATTTAAGCCAGGTTGAAACAGAACAATATTGTTGTGGCCCACCAGCAGCAAGCAGAGCTGGCAGGAGATTCGGACAGTGAGAAGGTTGGGGAGGAACCAATTATTCTATTCTATTCTGTATTCTATACTATTTTATTCCCTATTCTATTCTATATTCTATTCTATATTATTCCATACTCTATTCTATATCCTATTCTATTCTATACTATTTTATTTGATTTTCTATTCTATATTCTATTCAATTCCATATTCTATACTATTTTATTCATTATTCTATTCTATACGCTACACTATTTTATTCATTATTCTATTCTATATTCTATACTATTTTATTCCATATTCTATCTAAATATTCTATTCTATATTCTATTCTCTTGTTTTTTATTCTATTCTATTCTACATTCTATACTATTTTATTCCATATTCTATTCTATATTCTATTCTATTCTACATTCTATACTATTGTATTCCATATTCTATTCTATATTCTATTCAATTCTATATTCTATACTATTGTATTCCATATTCTATTCTATATTCTATTCTATATTCTATACTATTCTATACTATTTTATTCCATATTCTATTCTATATTCTATTCTATTCTCTTTTATTCTATTCTATTCTATATTCTGTACTATTTTATTCCATATTCTATTCTATATTCTATTCTCTTTTATTCCATTCTATTCTATATTCTGTACTATTTTATTCCATATTCTATTCTATATTCTATTCTCTTTTATTCCATTCTATTCTATATTCTGTACTATTTTATTCCATATTCTATTCTATATTCTATTCTATACTATTTTATTCCATATTTTAT